TTAACTGCCAAAGAAATTACTAAAGCAGAATTGCGTCTCTGACTGGCTCAGAAAGAATCATTCCTGGGAAGTAACAATTCACGATTACGAAGCTTAAATGTTTTTGAGGAGAATGGACTAATACGCACAAAGACAATGATCTCCAATCGTCAAGACACTTTTTCTTTCAGATGTCCCGTGGTGTTGGACTCAACTCATTTATTGACGTTGAAAATTATCTTTCATATTCATCTGAAACTTAATCATGCTGGTATTGACATTGTGATGAATAGTTTACGCGAAAAGTTTTTTCCTGCAATGTCGTCGTACGGTACGCTCAGTCATAAGAAAATGCGTCGTTTGTCGTCGGTATTCATCGAAAACAATGAAAGCACCTTGATTGTTACCTGAAGATAGAGTGAGAGATGTCGCAGCGTTTGAAGTGATAGGTATCGATTACGCTGGACCACTCTTTTTGAGCGGTGGACAAAAGGCATACATGTTTACTTGTGCAGTCTACCGTGAAGTCCACTTGGAGTTGGTCACATCTGTATCAACAGAGGAATTTCTGGAGGCCTTCAGAAGATTCATTGCACGTCGAGGAAGACCTACTGTAGTATATAGCGACAATGGGAAAAATTTTGTAGGGGCCAGGAATCTATTACAGAAGATTAATTGGCGGAAAGTTTTCCAATATTGTGCACTCAATGAGATAACATGGCATTTTAATCCACCTTCAGTTGTCTGGTGGGGAGGATGGTGGGAGCGACTTATCCGCCTCCTTAAAGATCTATTGAAGAGGACATTAAAGAGAATTTCGTTGAGCTACGAAGAAATGAACACAGTTCTATGCGATTGCGAGGCTACTATGAATTTAAGACCCCTTACCTACTTGACAGAGGAAAATACTGAAATCACAGCGCTGACTCCAGCGATGTTCATCAGTGACATTCGAGAAAATGGCGTTCCAGACTTGGATCAAATTTACAAGTCCCACTTTGCAAAGAGGATACGCTATCGTCAAAGATTGAAAGAAGAGTTCAGAAAACGTTTCCGTATACAGTACTTGGGCCAGTTATCTAGACGAACTAAACCCAGCAATGGTTCCGCGTCCGTGGCGTCGGGGACGTTGTGCTTATTGAAAACAATTTACAAAAGCGATTAGATTGGTCGCTCGCTGTTATTAGAGAAGTCTATCCCGGAAAAGATGGTTACGTGCGAGTGGAAAAACTGAAAACGAGCAAAGGTGAACTGGTTCGACCCATTCAAAAACTAATTCCCTTGGAAGTTGAACACTCCAATCCTGAAGCTGATAACTTTATCGAGTCTACCACTACGACGTCAGAGACTACTAAGGGAAATGCAGCTAATCCTCGAAGAGTCTGTAGCTGTCCCTAAAGAGGAACCGAAATCGTTGGAAGAAACGAGCTTAAAGACCCAAAGGAGTCGTATCATCCAGAAACCGGATCGGTTCAAATGTTAGAAAATGTTTGTCATTTTATTTTCGTTTTCATTTTTTTTTAGATAGGTTGGGTTGCTCCTATCAAGAAGTCACAACTCAAGGTGGGAGAGATGTTGGAAACGCGCCCGCAGTACCGTTGACATAGAGGGCGAGATGCGTGTTACCGGCCGAGGAGTGAGTTTGAAGAAGATGCCGGAAGAGCCGCGTGTGAACGGAAGGAGACGAGATCGGATCGCGAGCAGAGAGAGTGCCGTCCGTTTCCCGCCAATATTCCCGCCATTATAACTTTTGCCTTTTTACTGCCATTGTTACTACGTGTAATCCGAGCCGTATGCTCTCAATGTTCTCCAATAAAGTAGCGTGTTCGTGTAAAATAAAAAGAAGTGTCTAATATTATTGAGAATCTTAAGATCCCGAAACCGCGGCTGCAACACATATAAATAAGAAAGATATATCCTATGTTGTCCACGAGGATATTCGAATATGTACAAATCGCAAAACGATCCAATGATCAATAATGGGGCCAGCGCTCTTTCTAGCGTCTCTGCCATAGTTTCCGAGTCGGCTAGTATTTTAACTGAATCATTTCTTGCTGCACGAGGCACAAACACGTTTTAGTATTTTTTACAAGATTATAGTTTTCGCAATTCCTCTAGGAACTTTGTCGAACTACTGTAAGATGCGTACACTGGGAGATAACGTACGTAAATGCCGTTTAATCAACAAGTGTTGAACAACAGAATATTGGACACACAGATAATCTAGATTAGATTGCCTTTCTTTTCACAGAATTTTTATTTATAAATACGTAGATTGAGGCCACTAGATGTGGATCACTCTTGCAAGAATAATTCATATTTTATATTTTATATTTTTATAAAGATTACATTATGGACTTTATTTCATTTCGGTACTGTTTTATACGTTTTAATGTTGATTAAATTACGTAATGACAATTATTCACAATTAGATTCCATGTACTCATTGTGAATTAATTTTGTAATGATTTAGTTTTATCTTTTTGGAATTTAATTTCATCTAAACATGATATCAACTTTTTTCATTAAATCTATTGCTACTTACTCCTGTAAAAGCCATAAGGCAATTCTTATGATATTACACTTATGATTTACACTTTCTACGAATTTTTTACATATCCTAGTTCGTGTCTCAAGTTTTGTTAGTTAATAAAACGTGCAGATATTAATAAAATGTGCAGCGCTATTGCTAATAAATAAAAAAAAATTGACACTTGAAAAAAACAAAGCAAATGCTAAAGAATCTTATGATATGCATTATTTGAGATATAAAAAATACTATAATTATTTAAATATAATGTGTGATCCCGAACTAGTGCCTGATCCGCATTTAATGCTTTTACTACTCTATTATTACGAATGATTGTAACATTTGGTCTTTATACAAATGTAATTAATGGATGTTTTTTATTTTATTTTATGGCTTCTAATGACACATGGTGACTTAAGTTGAAGCTGACAACTTTAATAAAATATTTGATGTATTGAAAATATTTGAAATTATAATGCTCTTTGTAATGTAAAGGTGAATACAATTATTCTTATAATAATAATATAATTTATTAATGTAAAACGTGATGTTAATTTTACTATTATTTTTTATTTTTATTCTCAAAATATTTATATACGCACACAATTTTATGTACTTACATGTTTACACTATAATTATAAATATTTATTTTCGTAAAGTAAAAGGTTTAAACTAAATATGCTGCAAATAAAATTTCGGCTAATTGTTTTGCCCTTTCCCTCTTTTTTTTAATTCACTGTAAAAATTCAAATATATTATTAATAAACACGCAAAAGATATCACAGGAACCGTCCTATATTTATACGTATGGATGGATTGTAAAATGATAGAAATGAAGCTAATATATAAAGATATAATGAATTTATTATGTTTTATCTCTTTTTGTAATTTAAATTAATGAAAGATGAAGCGCATAATATAAATATAAAGGAAAGTCGCCGATACTGCTATAGGTTTTCTAAGGCATCTTCTTATTTCTCAGAAATTAACTACTGCACTTTATTTAATATTACTAACCAAAACATGATCTGTTAACTGTTTAGTTAATTAAAAAATTGTAAACACATAATTCGTATATTTTTGACTTGTTTTTATACAAAATCAGCTAAAAACGAATTCTATGAATGCAAAAATAAAATTCTTACGATTTTTTTTTGCAAATTGAATAATTAAATAACAGTGACTGTATTATTAATAACGATTTAATAAATACAAAATGAAGGTACAATGTAAACCGGCACATCTGTTAAACATACTATGAGTTAACTTAATTTTCGTAATGTTGCTTTATAATGCCAAATAATTATATCGGAGCAATGGTACATATAGCATATAAGAAACTATCGCGTTATATCTGGCATAACAGCATAAAGTAATTACACACATATAATTTAACAAAAATGTTTTATATCGAAGATAAAAAGATTTGGAAAATCTTATATACATTTACATATAGGTATTTTATACAGATAATTCCTGTAAAAAAAAAAGAATAGGAATATGTGGCATATATTATATTGGGTCATCTAAAAAGTATCCGCGGTTTTTTGTCACTAGATGTGTGTTGATGGTCATCATCATGGTGCTTGATCAAAAAGTTTCCGGAAGAGACCACCAGATGATGCTCTGAGTCAGCTGATTTGAGTTCTTTTTTTTGGCTAGGTTGCCACATCTATCATTGACATTTCCATCAAATTTTATCGCCATAGCTTGACATTTGTAAAAATTACGCCGTCTTGAGTACATCTACCTTTGCGCGTGTTTCCGATTTTTTACAGTTTTAAAAATGGAGTTGAATTTGCAACACGAGTTTGCAACAACGAATATCATCCAACAGCCATCGAATTCACCCGATATGGCTCCCTGCGATTTTTTTCTGTTCGATCGAGTCAAAAAACCTGCGGGGAACGCGTTTTAACAGCCGAAAGGAGGTAATGGAAAAATCGAAGACGGCTCTAATGGCTATACCAATAATAGAGTTCCAGAAATGTTTCGAGAGCTGGATCAAGCGCTGGCATAAATGCGTTGCAGTCGCTGGAGAGTACTTTGAAGGGGACAATATCACTTTTGATGAATAAACTTGTATTTTGAATTTTCTGAATGAATTCCGGAAATTTTTTGATCAAGCTAGTATATCTAGTGACAAAAAACCGCGGACACTTTTTAGGTGGCCCAATATTACTGGCTATTGTGTCAGTTTTGGAGGTATTTTATTAACGCTTATTTTTGCTTATCTTATGAAAAAATTGATTATTACAAAATTACAAATAATATTATAAAAATTTATATTATCTGATATGTATTATCAGATAGAAAACACTTTTTAGTTCGTATTTATGTATTTAAAGTTCATTTTTATCTTTTGTTTAATTAAGAAATATTGTCTAAAAATAAAATGGTATGGCGGTATCGGCAACCTTTCCCTAAAGGTATAAAATAATATTACCGTTATATTAGAGGAAACCAAAGTTTTGGAACTGGTTGACACACGGATTTAATTTTCAAAGCTAATAACTCAACCAAGTATTCTCTTTTTACTGTAGATTGCTGATTAAATTGTGTAAAATTTCTGCACCAAAAACGTATTTATTACTTACAATATTATAGTCTGCCAGTTTTTATCAAACATAATTGTGGAAATAAAAAAGAATTACTTCGTAATTTCATTTTTGCAGACGCGTACTTTAAGACAAATTTCATTAAATTAACTTATTTGAATGTTTGGTTCCAAATGTCTTAAAATTTAGCAATTTTTATTTCTATCTTAGATGGTACGGAATTAAAGCATTTGTTCAATAATAAACATATTATTAAAACATTTACTAAATAAAAATGTAATGATTCTTATTGCTGAGTCAGAATTGAGATTTTCTTGAATCATATACGAATTTTATGTTCTTATTTATATTTTGTAAATATATAAAATATCCTTTCAAAACAAAATGTTATAAACATGTACGTATATAAGCAATTTATGTATTTTATATTTTATATAAAAGGATTTAATACTTTATAAAGGATTTAATTTATGTTGTATTACATTTTATTATATTATTCTTTGTACATTATAATTCTTTTTTTGTTTTCTATAATTCGATATTAAAATATATTGCATGAAAAATAATAAATTGTATGTAAACATGAAAATCCAGCAAGCACAAAGTTAAACGTACCGTGTCTCTTAGGTATAATTTGTCACATTACAATAAAATTGTAATATAAGGTGTAGTAACAAGATATCCATTATTTTTGCATGAAATTGAAGGCTTTATTTAGTATCGTTAGAATGATCCGATTTAGGTCAAATATGCACTCTTTTGTTCGATAACTTGTTGCCATTTTGAAGGTAATTCCATTATGCCTCTCTCATAGAAACCCTCGTTCCTATTGGCAAAAAATTGGGACAGTCGATTTTCACAATCTTCTCTTGAGGCGAATTTTTCAGCAAAATCATTCGCCATAGACAGGAACAGGTGGTAATCACTTGGAGCCAGGTCCGGACTATAAGGTGGATGCATAAGAACCTCCTAACCAAGCTCCCAGAGCTTCTGGCGAGTCGCTATCGATGTGTATAGCCTTGCGTTGTCCTGATGGAACACAATTCCTCTCCTATTGGCCAAAGCTGGCCGCTTATGGGGGATTGCTTCCTTCAGAACATTGTTGACAGTACAGGTCCGAATTAAGAGTTTGGCCGTAGAGGAGCAGCTCATAGTAGATAATTCCCTGCCAATCCCACCAAATACACAGCAAAACCTTCCTGATCGTCAATCCTGGCTTGGCCACCGTTTGCGCCGACTCACCCCGATTCGACCACGATCGTTTTCGCTTGACGTTGTTATAAGTGATTCACTTTTCATCACCAGTCACCATCCGATTCAGAAATGGGTTGATTTTGTTGCGATTTAGCAGCGATTCAGCAGATGGAAATTCGGTCCATGAGG